TGCGATCAGGATCTTGCGATGGCTTAATGAGGACACGTCTTCCTATGTGCTGACTTCCGCACACTATAAATATGAGCAGCATATGCCAAGCCTCTGCAATGCAAATAGTTCATATTTACCATATGCTGCGCCCCATCTGATCCGCGGCTGCTGTGAGATGAGGCTTACTGCTAAATAAATACAATAAAACAGGTCTATTCCCGCTGTCAGCTCACAGAGATGAATATACAATCCGCTATACTATTAAAGGGTATCTAAAACCAAAATGGATATATTTCTGGCTGGGGAGGTTTAGGGCTGAGGGTTGGGATTGAGCAATCCCCCCTTTCCATGAGGCTCCATTTTATAATTTCACAGATTAAAGCTACAACACTCTATTTCAAGCAGAGTTCTCTATGTACACTCTCCTACCATTCTACAGGCTGCAGAAGGAGATGGCTCCATGTTCCTGTACACAGAGTCTCGAGACTCCCCTGAGCATCCCGCACACCTTCTCACAACTCGGCTCTGCTGATGGATTTACCCAAAGTTGGCCAGTCAAAGAAGATGTCACATTAGTCCAATTCACCATGGCCTTTCTGCCCTTGTCACAGGTACACAAGGGGCTCCTGGGAAATATGAACCTGCTTGAATTCTGGAAAGCTGAAAGGAGCTTCTGGGAACCCCCAAGTGCCATTTAAACCCCATTGCACCAGTGGCGTAACTATAGCCATAGTAGGGTTGCCACCTTTTCTTCAAGCGAAACCCGAACACTCTAGCGACACGCAGACATTTTTTGGGGGGAGAATGAGTGGTGGCTTATTCATATGTAAATAGCGCCGCCCATTCATATGTAAATTACACAGTTGAGACTATTTTCAGTGGGGGGCCAGTAGCCCCTATGTTAATTTTGGTTGCCCCTGTCTGCCTGACATCTTGTGTCCGGGTTTCTGCTGCCATGAAACCCGGACACAGCATTCAAAACCTGGACTGTCCGGGTGAATCCTCGACAGGTGGCAACCCTAAGCCATAGCAGCCCAGGCTATGGCTATAGGGGGGGCCCATTAGGTTGTTGAGGCAAATTAAACAGAACATGTGAAGATAATACAGTACTGTATGATTAAGGGTTTAAGAGGTTGTAGTTGATGGCAACTCTCTAATCCCATGCACAAGAGGAGTCTTTGGGATCTTGGCATCGTAAATCACAGCTCAGAGAAAGGTCATAAGAGGGGCCCCATCACATTTTTGCTATGGGGCCCCCGTGATCTGTAGTTACGGCCTGCATTGCACCACTAAAGAACACCTTAACCGGTTCCCACCGGCATAACCTATATATGCAGACGGGTCTCGATGCTGAATTGCTGCATATATGCGTCGGTCTGCGATGCTGCTCTGTGCTTAGAGTGCTCACTGGCTCCCAGTACAGTGACCGAGCATCAGCTGCCAGTCACCATTTGCAATTGGGAGTTGGTGGGATGGCCTCACGATCATGCGATCGCTGTGGCAGCCAATCACTGCGATCACATGATCAGGAAGCCTGCCTGTGGCCGTTTAGAGAAGGAGTGTCCCTACAGCTGTCCTGGAACTACAAATCTCATGGGGCATTGCAAGATTCTCACATCTACAGGCATGACTCCCAGAGACAGATGCATGATGGCATGTGTAGTTTCACCACAGCTGGAGGGCCGGAGATTGCCCACCCTTGGTTTAGGGGGATCTCGACTCCAGGAGTCAGAAGGCAGGATTCCCGATCATGTGACCACTTGGACTGGCTGCCAGAGTGATCAGATGATCGGGAGGCTGTCCCACCACTGCAAGCTCGGTCACTTTGCTGGGAGCACGCAAGCGAGCGCTCTCAGCACAGAATAGCAGCGCTGGCTGGCGCATTTATTCAGCAACTCAGCATTAAGATCCAGTGAGGGATACATTTTCATTCCCTATGGGTCCCTAATGCTATTTGCTTAAATGGCCAATTTTGTCAAAATTTTCCTATTTTTAATATCAAATAATAGTATTTAAGTGGGCGACAAGAAGTGGCAATCACATCGCCAGGCATTGTCCCTTCTATAAGGTCCATTCAAAAGGCCGAGCCTGCTATTGGTTAACCACATCGTGCTGTGTGTGGCCACCGAAATGTCTATCAGGAAACAAGAAATGAATCCTAATATTATAGATTGTTATTAATCTCAATGTATAATTGTATCCACGCCTTCCTCCCTCCAATCTTTTATGTCATTTGTCGTGCTCTGCTACAGTCACATTGGCCACCCGGTGCTTCTCATTAGCTCAGTGCAGGTGGTTTGCGCACAAGGAGGAATGAAAGCTGAAGATGGTATATAGATTATCTCTTCCTACATCATCTTCCAGTCAATTAAATATGTGTCGGGATGGAGATTAAGTAAAGATCACGCTGGGCTCTATTGATTGCTGCGTATCGGATTTTTCAGCTCTGCTGAGCACGGACGCCTCTAGCGGCCAGCGGTGAGACACGGGCCGAGCAAAGGGTGCTGCCTTCTCGCCCAACGTCCCCTCGGTGCCGCCAGAGGCAGTGGGCGCGTTGCAGCATCGCTCAGCACTGGAGGAGAGTGCAATCAATCTTTACAGCTTATTAAAGTAGAACTGAACCCTCCCATTTGCACTTGTATTCTTAGGCCCCTACCTTGGGGCAGAATAAGACTTAACCCTTTTCATGGTACCCCCCTAAAGAAGAACCCCAGGCAGAATAAAAC